AAAAAAAAAAAAAAAAAAAAAAAAAAAAAAAAAAAAAAAACCCCCCCGCACTAGCCTTCCCTCTGGCTTAACACTCAGATTCTGCTTTAGGGCCCTTTTCACAAGGATTGGTCCCAGTCCTCCATAGGTTCCACCTGGTCGCTTAGGCGCAAGTCCTCCTTTCCTAGCTCCCCCTAGCGATAGATACAGTCCCTTTCCAAGGCTGCCTGGGCTGAGCTCCTGGATCTGGTTGCCTCTTTGCACCACAGGGCATGTTTGTGCTGGGCCTACCCTACGCCATCCTCCACGGCGGCTACCTGGGGTTGTTCCTCATCATCTTCGCTGCGGTGGTGTGTTGCTACACCGGCAAGATTCTCATCGCATGCTTGTACGAGGAGAACGAAGACGGCGAGGTGGTGCGCGTGCGGGACTCTTATGTGGCCATAGCCAACGCGTGCTGTGCTCCCCGTTTCCCCACGCTGGGTGGCCGCGTGGTTAATGTGGCCCAGATCATCGAGCTGGTGATGACGTGCATCTTGTACGTGGTGGTGAGCGGCAACCTCATGTACAATAGCTTCCCGGGGCTGCCCGTGTCGCAGAAGTCCTGGTCCATCATCGCTACCGCCGTGCTGCTGCCCTGCGCCTTCCTGAAGAACCTCAAGGCCGTCTCCAAGTTCAGTCTGCTGTGCACGCTGGCCCACTTCGTCATCAACATCCTGGTCATCGCTTACTGCCTCTCGCGCGCGCGTGACTGGGCCTGGGAGAAGGTGAAGTTCTACATCGACGTCAAGAAATTTCCCATCTCCATCGGCATCATCGTGTTCAGCTACACGTCGCAGATCTTCCTGCCCTCCCTCGAAGGTAACATGCAGCAGCCCAGCGAATTCCACTGCATGATGAACTGGACGCACATCGCCGCCTGCGTGCTCAAGGGTCTCTTCGCGCTCGTCGCCTACCTCACCTGGGCCGACGAAACCAAGGAAGTCATCACCGATAATCTGCCCGGTTCCATCCGCGCCGTGGTTAATCTCTTCCTGGTGGCCAAGGCGCTGCTGTCCTACCCGTTGCCCTTCTTCGCGGCCGTCGAAGTGCTGGAGAAGTCTCTCTTCCAGGAAGGCAGCCGTGCCTTCTTCCCCGCCTGCTACGGAGGCGACGGTCGCCTCAAGTCGTGGGGGCTGACGCTGCGCTGTGCGCTGGTGGTCTTCACGCTGCTCATGGCCATCTACGTGCCGCACTTCGCGCTGCTCATGGGCCTCACCGGCAGTCTCACCGGCGCCGGCCTCTGCTTCCTGCTGCCCAGCCTCTTCCACCTGCGCCTGCTCTGGCGCAAGCTGCTGTGGCACCAGGTCTTCTTCGATGTGGCCATCTTCGTCATTGGCGGCATCTGCAGCGTGTCCGGCTTCGTGCACTCACTCGAGGGCCTCATCGAGGCCTACCGAACCAACGCAGAGGACTAGCGGGCGGGACCCCTGCCTCCAGCTCCCGCCCCGCACATCCCCATCCTCCCTCATTCCTCCCACCCCCGCCCCCAGCCCCGTGCGCCACCGCACTAGGGAGGCCGAGCTTTAAACACCTCTGGTTCCTAGTTGCTGATTATTCGGGGACGGGGTGGGGGAGGGAGGGGATAGACATCCAAGGTCCACTGCGTCTGCGTTTCTGTCGTCCTTTCTATTCCACACAGCCCTGGTTTGCGGGGAGCGAGAGCATATTTGTGGAGAATGTTTTCTGTCCTTCCTGGAGCCTCCCCCGCCCCAACTTTGGCTCCAGTCACCTGTAGGGGTGGGAAGGGAGGGGAAAGGGGCCCACGCAGCTCGCAGGCTCGGAAACTTGACCTTGGGGTGGGGTGGGGGACATTTCACAGCTATCCAGTGCTTGGAATCTACAGCGTCCAGCCATTTCCAGCAAGAGCGCTCCCCATGCCCTAGACATTTCAGCCTTGCGGCCAGAAAGGCTGGTCGGGAAATCCATTTCGGGCGGGCGACTTCCTTCTGGAGAAGCCGCGGCAGGAGCCTGTTTGCCTGCCGGTTTTCAGGAACCCAAACTCATCTTGTGCAATGTGTCCGGTTGTGGAACTGTATACTGTGCGTGTGGTGTGCTCGTGGTGAATAAGATGAAATGTATATCAGAAAAAAAAATCTATCTCTAATTTAGAGTGCGGTGCATAATAATTATATCCGCAAATAAAGAAGAAACAAAGGCGTTTCTGGCCTCCCGTTCTCGGCTGCCCAGCGCGGTGGTAAGTGGGAGGGAGGTGGTGGGGACACCCAGCTCTGGGCAAGTAAAAGAGGGAGGGAGGGAGGAGCAATTGTGGTTAAAAGGTCCTGGGAGAACTGAGTTGGTTCAATGTCAGAATGAAAGAACCAATGGACCCCTTCCGGCTAGGATTCGGGGGGAATTCATAGAGAATATGGTAGACTCTTTCAGCTTCCAACCCTAAAGCGGCAGGGTGCAAATTTACTGAACAAATGTTTGATTATTAGGGTTAGGGCTAAGTTGGGTAATAGAGTAAACTCCTAGTTTACAGTAGGGGGCGTATTTCAGGGAGAGGGGAAAGCCAGGTAACAAAGGACCGAAAGCATAAATCCTTTGAGGGTCTGCAATGTGACGAGAACGATAAAGGAGTGGGTTATGGGTTTTCCAGGCCCTTGGGACCAGGAACCAAATCCATTGTCTTTCAGGCACCTAATACCCCAAAACACCCTACCTACCTCAAGCCCCCGCAGCCAGTCAAAGGGATTGGCCATTTACAACAAACCCTTGGAGCATCAACCCCCTCCACCCCCCCACCGCAGCCATGCCAAAGGATTGGCCATCTTCTCCCCTTAACCCCGCTCTGGTGCACAGCTTGGCCATGTGATTGCCTGATTTATTCAAGCCAAGGAATCGGGGTGGGGACTGGTTTGGGTGTTGTTTTGTTTTTAGTGCTGCCTTGAGGGGCATTTGCCTGGAACTACTGGGAAAGGTTAAGGTACTGTGTCAGGATGGAGCTGGAGGGCTGCGCTGCTGTTGGTGTCCCCTCATTGTGGGAGGAGCCATCGTCTAGGCTCTGGCTTTTAGAGTGAATCTAATGACTAAACTGGGTGCCAGTCTCTCTGCAGTGGGGGAGGAAGGAAAAGAGAGGAGCAGGGAGAGGAGGGAGACTGTATCTGTGTCTCACAAACACCTTAGTAAATGTGTGTGTGTGTCCATGGCATAGATGCACCTGTGACAGAGGTGGCCCCAAATCAGTGTGATTCTGCAACCACAGAACCGGAGCAGGAGGGAGCAGGCTACCAAGTGGCGCTGAGAAGGCCCTTTGAGATGCTTGTCCCCCTCCTTGTCTCCTTGCTTTATTTCCCCTTGTCCCTATGGCGATATGCTCAGGCCCCAGCACAAATCAAAGAATTCTATTTCCAGTCCTCCATGACCACTGATATCTCCAAAACCCCGGGATGAGGGCGCCGAGTGTCAATCCTCCTGCCTTGTGTCTGCTTCTCGGTGGACCAGGAATGTGCTCAGACCCAGAACCCACATTGCAGCTCAGAAAAGGCTATAAAGGGGCAGTAGTTCTGTTCCACTGTGCCAGCTATGTCCTTATCAGTAGAAGGACACATGAGATCAGCAGTAAGGACAGGAACTGCTAGCTCTAGGATTTGCTTGCATTTCTCCAGTGAGTTTTGGCTCCAATCTTTGGGCTCAACTTGAAGGGGCCCAGGTCCCTGAGAGCAAATCCTGATGGTGGCATTGGCATAGAGTCCCCTAGAGTCACAAATGGAACTCTACACCCTAGTGAGTGGGTCACTAATTATCAAATTAGGATCCAGATTCCTGGGGCTAATGGAGGCAGATGGGACCTGTCTCCATAGTTCCTCGCTTCTTTCCAATGTGCATGAACAGAGATCACAAAGAAGTCGCTAACCGCAGTGTACTCACTCCTGCTAGGAGAGCAGCCCAGGAAAGGTGAGGACTCTGCATCAGCCCCACCCCGACACACCCAGGGTTCCCAACAGTTCCTATCGCTCATCCTGACTTCATGTGTTGTTAACTCTAATAAGCTGCTCCTATCTGCTGCAAAGATATGATGGTGTGCCTGTCTTGTGCCCTTGAGGAACCACAAAAGGCCATGTCTGCCAGCCACAGAGTCTGAAAGTGACCCTACCTCGCCTCTCCAGTGGTCAGAGCGCTAGCCGCTGACCCTCAAGGAGACTTTCTTCTTCATGGCTTGGGTAACTGTTTTGGTGCTCGTCTTCAAGTTCCCACTGCTTCTCCCCTCACCCTCACCTCCTGGAGTTAATTCTGTTCTCCCTCCCCACCCCAGTGCTTTGCTTCAGTATCAGTTTTCAAAAGTGGATGCCCTAGTATGGGATATTTCGTTATATGATGCACCCTATCCCAAAGACTGATATGCTCCTTGTTCAAAGACCTTAGAGGGATGAAGGAAGCCAAACAGGTCCAAGAGGAATCACTAAGACATGGAGAGGATCCAGGCCTTGCTATTGAGAAGGGGGTCAGAGATAAGGAGAATAGTCCTCAAAATGAGTGAGATTACAATTGGGGAAAACTGGGCATCCAAGGCTTTCCAGCTGAGGCTGGACTGACAACCAGGGAGCTAGCCTTGAGTCCTTCCTTCCTTCCTTCCTTCCTTCCTTCCTTCCTTCCTTCCTTCCTTCCCTCCTCCTTCCCTCCTTTCTTCTTCCTTCCTTCCTTCTTTTCTCCCTTCCTTTCCTCCCTCCCTCTCTCCTTCCTTCCTCCTTTCCTTTTTTTCTTTTGAGACAGGGTTTCTCTGTAGCCTTTGGAGCCTGTCCTGGAACTAACTCTTGTAGACCAGGCTGGTCTCGAACTCACAGAGATTCGCCTGCCTCTGCCTCCGTAGTACTGAGATTAAAGATGTGTGCCACTACTGCCCAGCTAACCTTGAGTTCGTGTCCCCCCCCCCAGTGTTCTTTTCTTTTTCCCTGTTGAATATTACCCAGTTTCTAAAAGATGAGCGCTTTCCATCACCTAGATGGAAGATGGCCATTTCACAACACTGTCTTCCACACATTCACCCATCTAACAATCCAGCTTTGAAAACAATGTCCTCCAAGCTTACAGACATTAGTTTATTTCCCTCTCTGATTCTTAGGCAGGATGACAATGATAGGACACAGGAGTGAGGGACAATCCTAAATAAGCTGTCATGGAGTCATAGATCAAAGCAAACAAGCATAATTGGTTCTTTTTTTTTCATCACGTTTTACTGTTATATCCACCAGACTGTTTAGAACATCAGAGTTCATGTTGTATTGCCTTTGATTTTAAAAATATTAAAAAGGGATGGAGAGATGGCTCTGTCAATAAAATTCTTAGTGTGCAGGCATGTGGACTTGAGTTCTGATTTCTGTCAGCAACATAAAAATCTGGGCATGGTGACTCACTCCTGTAACCCCGGTACCTGGGAGGCAGAGATTTGAGAATCGCTCAGGCTTGTTGGTCAGCCAGCAGAGTTGAATCGGTGATCTTGAGGTTCAGTGGGTAACCATTCTTAAAAATTAAAATGGATGGAGCTGGAGCAATTGCTCCGTGGTTAAGAGCTTGGACTGCTCCCCCAGAGGACCTGAGTTCAATTCCCATCTTGGGGAGGCTCACACCAACCACCCGTAACTAGCTCTAGGGGATCCAATGCCCTCTACATAAATAAAAATAAATCTAAAAAAAGAATATGGGTAAACTGAGGAAGATACTTGATGTTATTGACATCTCTCCCTATGACTATTGAAAATTCAAGAACAGCAGTGCACATCTGTAATCAGGAGTCATGACCTGAAGGCCAGCAAGGCCTACAGAGACTCTACTACAAAACAAAACAAACTATAACACAAACAAACAAATAAACCCAACAGAAATATCAATGAAAATACTATTCGTTTTGCTTCCTGCATTTTTTGACATTCTCTTCAATTTTGCTCCTAAGGCAGATGCTTACTTTGCCTCATGCTAGTCCCAGCCTTGGATGTAATGAGAAAGTTCTCCAGAGACCTGACTTAAACATTTCCGAGAGTCAACACGGGATTCCACAGTGATGCTATGGGTTCCTCTGCCCGTTGTTGGGCCCCAAGGGGGACAGGCTTCTGTCCAGAGGCACCCAGGAAGATGATCGGCGGTGCTGAGGGCCCAGCTATATGGGTGGGGTGAGAGCAAGGTGGAAACTGAGGATACTGTAAGAGAAATGGCAAGTGCAGCCTCTGGTCTGGCGGGGGATGCATGGGGGGGGGTTGGGGGTAGGCACATGAAAGGAATTGCTGGGCGGCTGCATAGCTCCTGCTTCCCGGGTTGTCATGGACTTACTGACTATGGAGTGCCTGCTACAGTGTATCCCCCAGGATACAGCAGTAAAGGGAACAGATGCTTTCTCTACAGTAATTGTCAATGTCATCCCTTCATCTCCTGGATGCACCCAAGTTCACCAAAAGCTGTGCATCCTTAGAACTCTGCTGTCACCAAGCCACCGCCAGCGCCTCCCCTAAACTCCCATCTTATCTCCCTGAGGGCTTTCTAGGATACCTTAAGAGACACAATTTGGAGTTGAGGAGTTATCTCCCAACACTGAGCCAGTTAGTGATTCCTGTCTCCGGTCCTCTGATGGGATGACTTGAGGCCTGCTAGCTCATCAGACATGTTTTATCTGACTCCCTCTGCCTTCCCTGTTTCTTCACTACACTGTCTGGGATCTCCTAAGCAAATTAAGTGCATCTGAGTCTTTGTCTCAGTTTGCTCTAGTGGAAATCTAAGGCAAGACATTTACTTACAAGACTTTTAATCTAATGTAGTGTCACCACCACCCCCACCCCAAACCCCAAGATACCTACTCAGAGACTCTGGCTAGGCTGGAAAAAGCAGAATAAAGTGGGAAGTACTTTAAAGACTTGTCCTCATGTCACCCAGAAGTTCAGAGATAATAACCTCCACAATTTCTTCCCTCTTCCTGATGTGTCATTGACTTGGGACTGTTGGCATGAAGAAGACTGCGGCAATGGTGGATGGATGGAAGAATGGGTGCTTTCATAAATGTCAGTGATTGGATGAATGAGAAAATGGGTAGGTGGATGAGTGAATGGAAGGAAGGATGGGTAGACAGATAAATGAGTCCATGGAGCAAAGGATTAGTGTCTAGATCAATGGATGAAAAGAAAGGAAATGGGAGGATGCAGCCATAGCAACCTCCACCTCCTCCTCCTCCTC